GTAGCGTTTTTTCAAAAATCGAGGAGTTACAGTGGATCAAAGTTGATGGCTTATACAACTATTCCATGACTTCATTGGTGCATAGAATGCTTAAAACTGGTAAACCCATCTATTTACTCGGTAAGTTGATTCCTCGTGGAAACCAAATTACTCTAAATCTGCGGCACAATGATCTCCTTTCCATTCCTATACATCGTACGTCGGTCTTTGAAAGGTCCTTTACTTACAAATGCGCTCAAGGTATACAATTCTTTACCAGCTATCTCTAAGAGCTTAAGTTTGCAGCGCTTCAAGGAGAGGGTCAAGTTGCACTTTCTGGACTCAGCACACTGAGTCTTTGTATATGTTCATATTATATATTTACTCCTTCTTAATGCATTCCCTGCAGCTACTGATTCATGTTGTTATGCTAATGTTTTGTGATGTCTGGTTGTAGTATGGTTGAGTGGTAGAGTAGCCTTGGCTGAATACTATGATCATTTCCTGGATAAAAACATTATTTATTATTATTATTAATTATTTTCAGACCATCATCAGCTGAGTGACCCAATCCTCTTTTTACATTTCAATTTTTGTCCTGGCATCCTGTGTATGATGAAGGCGTATCGAGGGATTAACCCACACAGCACATTAGTTTTCAGAGATATTTCTGGTATATTACATATCGTTCCCAATATCACATTTCAAAATAGGTATTTCGTACATCTTTCAGGAATATTGATTTTGTAATATTGTCCAATTTATGTTTGAGAGACATTACTGACACGTTTTAAATATTTCATGGGATTTGAATCTTATATTTAGATAAACAGATCTCTTCAAGACATTGGTTTATTGCGTCCATGGCAATATCAATCTAATAGGTACACGTATGCTCATTAATGGGTGTATTCACGTCGAAAACGTAAAAATGTGTATTGTTTTGACTATTATATCATTTCTTATACGTGGTAAATTTTTGATGACTTTTATTGTCTGGGTTCGTCAATCCTTGAAAAATATATTGGCGAAGAAAAGAATACACCCGTATTCATAATTTAGAGAGAAGCTCCAAAGACTCAGGTGTCTCTTCGACTTTTGACAAAACTTTTGAGCTACATGGCAATATCAATCTGATAAAAATAATAATAATAATAAATCATCTTTATTTAGGGGCGAAGTTTAGCATAATGCTACTCTGCCACTTAACCACAAAAAAAAGGAAAACTGAAAAAAACAATACAAAAAACATAACAAATTTGATAAGTTAGAAGTTTAAAAATGTAGGTGTATAAAAAATATGATGTATATAACATATACGAGTGTACTCGTTAGTGAAGGCTATTCAATATTTCATGATTTCAAAGTATAAAATTGTAACAGTTATACAAAAACAAAGGAATGCTATATTGGAAATAGTTTGTGTGAGGTGACAGATAAATTTTATCAACTGATTTATATCCTTCTATTCAACATAAATTTCTTCATATGTCTTTTAAATTCATCATATGTAAGCAATTTTGTGGATCGAGGTAGAGCATTGTAGAAAATAATTGCGTTGTAGGTGAAGCATTTACGAAAGAATGATGTCCTGTGGTGGAGCATTGTGAGTGTTTCAGTGAATCGAATGTCCCTAGAATGGATATTGCTTCTAGATATCAGCTTATTTCTCAAACACGGCGGAGTGGATGATAGCAAAAGTCTGTGGGTCTAAGTAACTAAGTTCATTTACTCTCAACCACTTCATGTCGTTGAAAAAAGGGCAATATATGATCATATTTTTCCAAATCATTGATTAACCTACAACATGAGTTTTGGAGTTTTTGGATACGTGTTAGAGATATTGAGTCAAGAAGTGGAAGATAAACTAAATCGCAATAACTAATTTTGGACATTACCAAAGATTCACACAAACTGTCTTTAGCTTCAAAGTCAAGAAATTGTTTTTTAAGATATAGTAAAATTGAAAAACAATTCTTACTGATATTATTTACATGTGGTATAAAATTTAGACATTCTAAAGTTACGCCCAACTTTTTCACTGACTCACTTACTTCTATAGCCTCACCATTTAATTTTACTTTAAAATTTCTTTTGCCATCACTTCAGAATAGTTTTGGTGAAAAAATGATGAATTTCGATTTTAAAGGGTTCAACTGAAGGTTATGATTTTTTGCATACATACTAATAGATGTTATATCTTCATTTACCTCAGATTCAGCATTTCGAATGTCATGATTATGGAAATGACTGTAGATCTGTGAATCGTCAGTAAAGAATTGGATATTACAATATTTAACAACCGAGTGGAGATCAGAAATATACAAAATGAATAGGAGTGGCCCAAGTACAGACCCTTGAGGCACTCCGGAGGAAATGAGGCACTTTGAAGATAGAACCATGTCAATGTGTACCGTTTGATATCGATTTCCTAAGAAGTTCTGAATCATTTTTGAGGCAGAATCAGAAATAACTAAATATTTACACTTGGCTACTAATGCCTTAGAGGAATCAAGAAGAACGAATGCTCATTAAAGGGTGTATTGACGTCGAAAACGTAAAAATGTGTGTTTTTTCGACTATCATATCATTTCTTGTACGTGGTAAATTTTTGATGACTTTTATTGTCTGAGTTCGTCAATCCATGAAAAATATATTGGCGAAGAAAAGAAGACACCCGTATTTCTAATTTAGAAAGTAGCTTCAAAGACTTTCGACAAAACTTTTTAGCTTTACCATAATTTGGAATAACTTCTGTTAGTACTGGAACCTCATCAGAATCTTCGGAAAGTTCATGTATCTCAATTCATGTTTCAGTTGCCTACGAAGACTTATAAAGCTATGTTTTAATAAACCTCAGTAGTGACTGTACTGTATCATAATAACTTGAATTACTCCAGATTTATTTTACAGATATAGTAAAGTGTATTTCCCAAGTCAGTGACTAGGATTTCTTAATTAATCCATCTTCATGCTCTAGAATACAAAATTTGAGACAGTTAATTGAAAATCAGATACTTTGAAGTTTACTTTTACCAGATTCCATAAAAAACAATACTCATCTAATTTTGTTACGATTAATTAGTTAATATCTGTCTCAAGTTATTTTGGTAAATATTAATAAACAAACAATCAAATCTGATACTGTTATTTCATTCTATTAACTGTTGATTGTATACCAAGACATTGAATGTGGCTTGCAAATCAAACGAATCTTTTGAATCATTTAAAAAGACAACTTTTACTTACATTTCTCTAATGAAGTTCAATGTGCATTGTATAAGCCACTAGTAAATTCGTAAACGTAAACTCAAGCACTTGACTTTTGAAAGAAGTGGAGGACACAAAATAAATTCGCTGGATGTATGCTTGAAACCCGCTAAATAGGAAGTATTTTCGCTAAATAATGGAGTCACACGTATATTTATTACCTAATATGGGCTTTGGCTTTTGGTAACGGCCACAAATCCTTCCCTCGACTAAAATGGAAACAAAACAAGGTAATGGATGGCTATTCGCCAATTCATCTAAAACCGATCTTCTTAATTGAAAGAAATTTCGGTTGGTTTGGTAAATAAAAACGGTACTGTTGCGTCTTGTAGAACTTCAGATTTTTCTGATTTTTTACTTGAAACTTATAGCGTAGTCTAATAGATTATTTTAAATAAAAAAAGTGTGGATGAAGCACGCTTGTCATGAAATTTGTTTCCCAAAACACTGTACTTTTAGCAGTTACTTCCCTCATTATTTCCACTGCCATCTGAAATATGACGTTGACGTTTGTGCATCATCATATATGAGAGGCGCGTGCCTGCGGCGTTGCCGGATTGGGATCCGCATTTAGGGAAAAATATGAAAAGTGGAAAATTCATTTAAATAAATTAATTAATGAATCACAAAAACGAAAAACTGAAACAATCAACAGTAGCAAAATAAAAAGCTATTTCCAATAAGTATTAAACAAAAAATAATATTATTAAGCTAAAAAATGATAAATTATATATAATTATAAAAAACAAAAACAAATCCAATTTTATTTAATTATAAAACTCAAAAAATAACACACAGCAGTGAAATAAACGCAATTCTAAGTGATTATTAAGAACAAAAATAAAAACAGTAGTAAAACAAAAAAAAAATTTCATGTTTTTATAAAAAACAAAATAACAAACAGTAAAATAAAAAGCAATTCTAAGTGATAACAAAAAATAATAACAGTAGTAAATCATAATTATAAAGAACAAAAAATAAGAAAGTGTTAAATAAAAAGCAATTCTAAGTGACAGCACAAAATAAAAAGTAAAAAAAAAGTAGTAAAACGAAAAACAATTCCATTCCATCCAATTGCTTTTTATTTTACTTTTTTTTTATAATTACATGGAATTGCCTTTACTACTGTTTTAATTTTTCGTTTTTATAATCACTTGAAATTGCTTTTTATTTTACTGCTGTTTGTTATTTTTTATAATCATTTACAATGTATTGATTTCTAGCTTATTACTGTTATTTTTTGTTGTATACTTATTAAGAATCGCTTTTTATTTTGCCACTGTTGTTTGTTTCAGTTTTTTGCTTTTGTGTTTCATTAATTAATATAAATGTTTAATAAGTTTTGCACTTTTTACATTTTTCCCTATATGCGGAGACCGCAACACCGCAGGCAAGCGCCTCTCATATTAGACCATATCCACAGACGTTAACGTCATATGGCAGATGATGGAGGAAATAACTGCTAAAAATACAGTATTTTGGCAAAAAAAATCATGAAAAGCATGCTTCTTTTTTATGCAAAATAATCTATCAGAGTACCCTCTCTAAGTTTCAAGTGAAATAACAGTGAAATCCGAAGTTCTACAAGACGCAACAGTACCAATACGATCGGAGTGTTTATTGCAATGAGTGAAAAGTAAAGCGTAGCCATAAATGCCCCTCAGTCCGTCCCTGTTCACGAAGCGAACCAGCTGCGTCGTGCGTTTCACCCACCTCCATGGCGGACGTTAATAACCCAGTTGGCTGACTGGGGCCGACCCAAAGTGGGGAAGCGGCAGCGCAAGGGGGAACACTCAGTAGCTACTTGCTCAACATACCGAAATCATCGAAAGCTTTATCACTTGTGATATTTTCTATAGTTCCAACTGTTGTCGCGGCGCGAATTTCCGAAATTTCCGAGTGAGATGCGACGGCGAGTGCCGAAAGTTCGGTTTTGGCGGACTGAGTGACAACGTACACTGGTACACCGAGAAACTAACGCTCGACCATGTACAAGCTGCTTGGAGGACTAGCGAATTACCTGAAGTACCATGACATCGTTACTGATTGTGCGGTTTTCCGAATGCACAACACATTTACCTGTGCCTTGTTGATGGCCTGCAGTTTGATAGTATCAGCGAACCAATTTGTTGGGAATCCTATTCAGTGTATCGTGGACGGATTGCCGAATCATGTGGTCAACACTTACTGTTGGATCTCGTCGACGTTTACTATGCCTGATGCCTTCAGGAGGCAGGTGAGGTCGTCTTCCATAGCTTATGACGTCATTTTCGTATACAGCTGTATGACATAACCTCAAAAATTTCTTAATTGTACGCATTATTTCCAACAAGCCACATTTTGTTCTCAATAACCTATGTAATTACCTAGTTAGGCATTTTATACTGACATAGTGTTGCATACCCATCTAATGTTTGCTTACAAAAGCCATTATACCATTTTTTTTTCTGATAATTGCTTTAATCTTTACTAATACTTAGGGTCGCGTATCATCAGTCGTTCATAGTCTTTCCTGTTCTTCAGATTTCTACTGTTCCCTGTCAGCGTCAGCGCTCTTTTATTGTGAGGTTATGTTAATGAAAACATTTCTTAGAATTCAGAATGTAAATATAACCTCAAAACAGAGCGCTGACACAAAACAGTACAAATCTAGAAATACCGCTGCTTTTCTGGACAGAAAAATCTATGAATATCAAGGAGGCCCTGATGAAGAGGCCTAACAAACGATTGACAATACGGCCCTAATATATTTTAGCAATACAATAACCACAGGCCACAATTTTGACATTCGACGTTACCTACAGGCTCCAGGCGCCATTTTATAATAATAATATAATAATAATAATAAATGACTTTATTGGATATCTACAACAAATAATCTTTTTACAAAGGTAATTTAGAAAAAAATACAGAATACATTGCCTAATATTGGCGCAAGTCTACCTTAAAGCTACTCTACGGAACCAAAATAAGACAAAAAATAATAATAATAATAATAGTAATAAGTCTTCAAACAACAATACAGAATAATCATAATAATAATCCCGTGTTAACACAAAATGGACTGAAAGTAAATTAAAATTTCAAAAGATATTAATTACTATAAAATTTGCCTGACATATTTTTTCTACTTATATATGTATCTATATTATCAAATTCAATCTCCATTCTAAAAAAGTTTGTTCAGATCTGTATTTAGCAAATATTTCTTATATTGTATTTTGAAACTTGAAACAGAAAGATTGAGGAACTGGTTGGGAATTGAATTAAAGTATTTAACAGAAATGTATGAGAATGATCGTTGAAACAATGCACTACTATGAAGCGGCATAGTTAATTTTTTTAAATATCTAACATTTATATCATGAACAGAATGTTGAAAAATTAAGCGTTCTCTTATAGGATCAGGTGAATATGGAGTGTTTATAATTTTTAATAAAAAACTAGAAAAATGAAAAGTGCGACGCTCATTCATTTTAAGCCATTTAATTTCTTTATACAAATGAGATATATATGATCAAACCTACGCAGACCATAGATAAACCTGAGGCACGCATTTTGCACCTTCTGAATCCGACTTGCAACAGAATGTTGAAAAATTAAGCGTTCTCTTATAGGATCAGGTGAATATGGAGTGTTTATAATTTTTAATAAAAAACTAGAAAAATGAAAAGTGCGACGCTCATTCATTTTAAGCCATTTAATTTCTTTATACAAATGAGATATATATGATCAAACCTACGCAGACCATAGATAAACCTGAGGCACGCATTTTGCACCTTCTGAATCCGACTTGCCTGATCTAAGCAAAACCCATAGACAAAATCGCAATAATTGAAATTTAAAAGAATTAGGGATACACACAATTTTTTTTTAGTGATCTGTTTAGTATGTGTGTGTTATTATACAAAACTTTTAGAGACCAAAATGATTTTTGCCTAAGATCTTTCAGGTGATCTTTAAATCTAAGCTGAGAATCTAAAACTATACCGAGATTTTTTGTACTTTCAACAAAATTCAATTTTGAATTATTAGTCATTATATTGAGATTAGCTTTCAAAAACTCAGTCTTAGATTTGTTACCAAAAATTATTACATGTGATTTTTCCGGATTAAGTTTCAAGTTGTGACTTAATGAGAGATTGTTCAAGGTGTTAATGTCCTCATTTATACAATTTTTGAATGATCCTGTAGTTGCATTTCATTATGCAACTCATTGTACTACATGCCCAAGATGTTAGATGAAGATGAACACTAAAATACTCGTATTAAGAAATTGAGGTAAAACATATCTGTACCTTAGAGCCAGACTAGGTTAAGTTCAAATAAGTATTGAGATAATTGAATTTGAAATATTTTTCTTGTATTGTTGTATGCGACTTGACATGAGTTAAAAAGTCGTAAGTTTTTTATCATTACAGATAGATGGACGGTGCAAGTAGTAGATGAAAATTCACTATATTATCATAGGCTTAACATACTGAGGTCATTTTTGACAAAAATGGACTTAACCTAGACTGGCTCTGGGGTACAGAAATGTAGATCTCAGGAGTGCACAATAATTGTCCATTTGCATACCATTCTATGATTATTTCTCTCTTCTCATCCAGCAAGTTTTAGCTGTTCACTAACTAATAAAATCACACGCGGTTTTAATTATTCTCATTAGTTGTATCGTGATATTTACTGTGAAGTTTCACATTCATAACCTCCGACATGTAAAAAATATCTGTGCAAGCTTTAGGTCTAGCTTCATCACGCCTTTGAAATCACTCTAAAAGAGAATGGAGAAACAATTTCAGATTCAGTTTTCTTGAAATTTATCAAATACCTACCACCTCGCTTTCAACTAACTTTAGTAGAATATCTGGGAGAGGTGGGCGTAGTCCATATGAGTGTTTTCTGAGAAAACAGCATAGGCAGCACGCGGAGCTTGAATAATGAATAATTCAGGGAGACTGAATCAGTTGGAAACGTTAAACACACAAGAACGTCAATTCGGCGTCGTGGACAAGAATTGCAAGTTTCCAGAAGCTCTAAAACGTAAAGATCTGTGTCTCCATGCTTACAAAATTCAATTACCACAACTGAAGTCTAATGACCATGAACAGCGAAGAGAGTTAGTGGAATGGATTATTGAACATCAACAACTGGATGCTGAGTTTTCGAGCAAAATCATCCTAAACGATGAAGCACATTTTCACCTTAGTCGCCAAAATTCTCGTATTTGGGGTTCAGAGAACCCACGTGTCGAAAAACAAATGCACCCATAACGTGTCACTGAGTGGTGCGAATTTTGAGCTGGAGACCTCATTGGGCCATACTTTTTTTAAAATGAGGCTGGTAAAGTAACTGTTACAGTGCTCGATATCCCGACATAATAACACAGTTCTTTCTTCCGAAATTGGATGCTATGGATGTGTCCAATATGTGGTTTCAAGACGGTGCCACATGCCATACAACTGGTGAAACAATTCAATTACTGCATGAGACATTTCCTGGTCGTGTACTTTCCCATTTCGGCGATCAGAATGGGCCCCCTAGATCGTGTGGTTTAACACTATTAGAGTTCTCCTTATGCTGTTATTCAAAGTCAAAGGTCTTTGTCAACAAACCCACACCACCCGTACATTACAAAAGGAAATTAAATGGTGCAGAAAGGTCACCAAAAATTTCCGCAAAATGGTGCGTATGTATGTACTTTTGTCCATTTTCTTCACAATTCATGCGATCGCAACTTAAAAAAAATTACCCCAAATCATTAATGCGTAGGGATAGGTTTGGTTCGAAGAGCGGCGGAGGGGGAAGGTAGGTAGTGCTTTAGGGTCAACTGGGGTAAATGTAAATGGGGGTAAAAGTAAACGATTTTATATACCTGTTTAAACTTCGCGCCCGACGCTAAATTCCTCTTCTGCTATGATGCCAAATTTCACCGGAAGGCATTGCCGCCAAGCAATTCCGCATGCGATTGAAATTTCAGTTACAAACAAGCGGTTATAGAAGCACGTGCATTTTGTTGTGTTTACAAAGTGAAATATCTAGAGATATTATGCTTTAATTTGCTTTCTAAAAGGTAAGTAGTTTTGCATTTGGATTATTATGGCTTCTTAAACATATATTTTTATAATTATACTCTTTTTTCCGTCATTAACGCTTAGTTTTTAACAAAAAAAGATGTTTACATTTACCCCTGATTCGAATTTGCTAGGGAAAATGTAAACATTATTTTTATGGTAAAGTTACACAAAGAACTTACAACAATGTTTAAAGTACCTAATTTCGTTTGCAGATGCCTAGAAACTATGTAAAAAAATCTGCTGGGCCTTCATATACATCTGAAGATATTAGAAGAGCTGTCGACGATGTCGCAAACAAAAATAAAACCTATAGAGCAGCTCAAGAGTTCTATGGTGTTCCCATATCTGTTATCTGTCAAAGACTTACTGGAAAAAGAAGAACCCCCATTGATTCCGTAGCGAGAGGTCGAAAACCTGCCCTATCAGCAGAAGTTGAGAATACTATAGAGAAATGTATCCTTGCTCGAGCGCGATACGGTTATCCCTGCGATAAAAATGAGCTGCAGGACCTAGTCAAAACTTATGTCGAGAGCAAAGAATTACAAACTTCTTTTAAAAACAATAGACCCGGAGACGATTGGTATTATGATTTTCACTTAAAAAGCCTGAACTATTACAAAAATTACGTAAAGACGCACGAAAACCCGAAGTAGTTTATAATTTTTACGAAATTCTGAGACAAACATTAATTAGCAAATATCTGATTAGCCCGGATAAGGCCTGTTTTATTTATAACGCAGATGAAAGAAATTGATATGTCTGATGAGAACCGACCACTTCCCAAGTCAACACACACCCGTTGATTGATTCCCAAAGCGCAACTCAAGATACCAATGTTTCAAAGAAACCTTCTGATTTACAAGTCGCAGCTACAAATGGATCAGAAATTGAGAATCTCTTTTTTAAAAGAACTGAATTGGTAGATGTCGTACAACAAAAAACAACAAACGTTCGATTAAAACAAAACAAAAGACTTATGGTGAAGTACTTACAACAGAAGATGTCTTGAAAAGACTTAAGGAGGCCGAAGAAAAGAAGCAGTTGAAAAAGAAACGTCTAAAATTACAAAATACAGAAATGAAAACGATAAAGGCGAATAAATTAAAAAAAACAAAAGTGGACTTTTCCTCAAGTGAAAGTGAAACAGAATATCTTGAAA